AGATCACATGCTAGCTCATAGGACATATCTAAGTAAATGTAAAAGAATCGAAGTTATCTCCTGTATATTATCAGACCATAATCAGGATGTTTTCTTGCTGTCTCTCGACTTCCCAAGGCTCAGGCCTCAGGAGATCTCTCAGGAGAGGAGTCAGTCGCACCTGGAGAAACTGGGTCCCGTGTCTCACAGGATGCCTGTGGCCATTTTCTCAGAGGAGTCAAAGTGGGGAACATAGGAGCCGAGGGCAGGTCAGCAAAGGTGAGCACACTGCTCTGATCCCTCCTGTATGGGTCCAGACCTTCCCTGGCTGTGTGTGTGAGAGTGTGTGCCCAAGCACATGATCGAGTGTCAACAAAAAAATCTGTACCGCTCTCATATTATCATATGGCAGTCACTTGATAGTTTTCTAAGGTTGTGGCTTAAATTGAAAATGACCCCAAATGTTTCATGTATCCAGAGGTGGGGCTTTTGGAAGGTGATGGGATCATGTGGGTGGCTTACTTACTCATCTCCAGATCACTGGAGTCACTGATAACTCCATAGCTGAATATATTGTTGGGAATTGGGGCCTGACTGGGGAGGTAGGTCATTGTGGGTGTGACCCTGGAGGGTACATTTTGTCCCAGGATCCTTTCTCCTCCTCTGCTTTCTGGCTGCATGGGCCGAACAGCTTTCCTCTGCCATGCCCTTGGATCATCCTGTTTCTGCCTTGGAGCCAGCCAACTATGAACTAAACTCTCTAAAACCATGAGCCCAAATAAGCTTCTCCTCGTCTCTCTCTCTTTTTTTTTTGTACCTGGGATCTAACTTGGGACCTTGTACTTTCGAGGCAGGGGCCAGAAGTATTGAGCTAAAACCCTGGCCCTCTCCTCCTCTTAAGTTGTGTTGAATATTGGTCCCAGAAACAAACAAGTGATTCATAAAACTACTGTTTCCATGTTAACCTCCCTCAAAGGTCCCACTCCAGGATGAAAAGGAGTCAAGCCTGACTCTGGATACTCAAGCTTGCTTAGAGTTTTTGAAGATGGAGGTAAGGGAGTCCATGGTCAACCATCTTGTGCGATCCTTGCTTCAAGGGAACTCTTCGTTCCTGCACGAGTTTTTGAAAAACTGCCAAGTATTTGGGACCACACAGCAGGTGCTGGATCTGCTGTTGAAAAGGTTTGTGCACCCCCTTGTAGGTCAGGGGAGCTCCATCTGGCTGGGTTTTGGGAATGCTTTGCACCACTTGGTGACCCAGTTTGCTGTGTGACAATTGTAAGGCTAATAGGAGGACCTGCAGGGTGTGGTCAGGAGCAAGGGAGTTGAGCCTGCAAATGCCTGTCCTGTGCTTGATCGTGTACTTGGTTACCCAGCACTGTGGTCCACTTGAGTGTGACATTCACCTTTCATCAACATGGAGAAGCTCTCAGCCTGGCTCCTCACCTGAGGCCTCAGAGGAAGTTTCCCCATCTG